CCTGGGAGTGGGGGGGGGAGGCTCTTCTCCTTCTTCCTGCCTTCCTTGGGGTCCTGATGGTGACCCAGGGGGGAAAGGGAGGGGAGCAGCTGGCAGGGAAGGCGAGGAGCCTCCTGCCTTTGCTCCAAAGGGCCAGAAATGTCCTTTCCCGCAAAGAGTCAGCCTTCCGGTTGGCGGGATGGGCCCCAAGGGGAAAAGGCTCCGCTGTGCCTGCAGCTCAGCCCCTCCTGCCTTGCTCTTCCTGTGCCAGGTCCTCCTGCAAGCAGGTGAAGAGGCAGGTGCGATGGGGGGCGGGATCGGAATGAAGTAACCTCCCCCCCCCTTCCAGTGGAGTCCCTGCCTGCCGCCTAAGCCCCCCCTGCCCCCCTTCCTCTTCCAGGACATCCGCAACACGGTGGGCAACATCCCCATGGAGTGGTACCAGGACTTCCCGCACATCGGCTACAACCTGGAGGGCAAGCAGATTTACAAGCCCATCCGCTCCAAGGACGAGCTGGACAGGTTCCTGGAGAAGATGGAGAACCCTGACTACTGGTGAGGCTTGCCCCCTCCCCCACCCCCAGGAGGACCTGGCTTCTGCAGGGAGGGGCAGGTAAGCTGGAGAGCACAGCTGCTCATGGCTCCCCCCCCTCCGCCCCCCCCAGGCGAACCGTCCAGGACAAGATGACCGGGGCGGACGTGAAGCTGACGGACGAGCAAGTGGAGCTGGTGAACCGTCTCCAGCGCGGCCAGTTTGGGGACGTGAATTTCGATCCGTACGAGGTAAGCAAAGGGCTGCCGCCCCTCCTCTCTCCCGGGGATCCACAGTCAAGGGGGGGGGGGCGGCTCTTTCCTGCAGCTGCAGCCCCTCCCACCTCTGACTCCTTTGCAGCCGGCCGTGGACTTCTTCAGCAGCCAGGTCAGAATCCACCCGGTGACAAACCGGCCGGCGGACAAGCGGAGCTTCATCCCTTCCTTGCTGGAGAAGGAGAAGGTGAGCTGCTGGAAGAAGAAAGGGCTCCTCTGGGGAGGGGGGGGTTTGGCCCACCTTGGCCTTGCCCCGAATGCGCCCCGTCTCCCAGGAGTCCCTGTCCCCACGCAGAAACCGGCGATCCCCAGGGCTGGCGGGGCTGCGTGTGGCTTGCTCCGGGGTCAGGCGCTGTGAGGCAGCTGTCTTGGGTCAAAGTGGCCCCCGGGAGAAGCAGCCTGGGCATGGAGACACGGGAGGGATTGGGGCCCAGACCCCTTCCGGTTTACTGCCTGGGTGGGCACCTCGCAGCGGCCACCAGGACCTTTTTCTGAACGCCAACAAAACTGTTCAGCGGCTCCCTTGGGGAATCTGTCCAGTTGATGCCCCCCCTCCCTCCAGAGGCTGGTCGGGGGCACCTGCAGGCAGGGCCTCTGCGGCTCTCAGAGGATGGCAGGCTGCGTTCATGGCGGCTCTTCTGCCCTTGCAGGTCTCCAGGCTGGTGCACGCCATCAAGATGGGCTGGATCCAGCCCCGGAGGCCTCGGGAGGACACGGGGGTCTTCTACGACCTTTGGGCCCAGGAGGACCACAACTCCATCCTGGGGCGGCACAAGATGCACGTGCCCGCCCCCAAACTTCCCCTGCCCGGGCACGAGGAGTCCTACAACCCCCCTCCGGAGTATCTCCCGACCGAGGAAGAGGTGAGCAGCGCTGGGCCCGGCCTCCCTGGCCCCGAGGGAGGGGGAGTCCCAGCCGGTGCCACAGGAGAGGCGGAGGAGCCACCCTGGGATGGGGTCTCCCCTCCCCCCCCCCTTCATCTCTTCTCGGCAACCCTTTGCAGAAACTCGCCTGGGAGCAGCAGGAGCCTTCGGAGCGCAAGCTGAGCTTCGTGCCCCAGCGCCACGACTGCCTGCGCCGTGTGCCCGCCTTCCCCCGCTTCATCCACGAGCGCTTCGAGCGCTGCCTCGACCTCTACCTGTGCCCGCGCCAGAGGAAGATGCGGGTGGGCCTTGCCCCTTTGCCCCTATCAGTGTGTTTGGGGGAGGAGGGGAGGGGAGGGGGAGCTGATCCCCATGGAGGCACACGGGGGTTCCTCCCTGGGCCGCTGCTCCCATCTGGAACTGAGGGTGGGCGGCTTCCCTTCCAGGTCAGCGTGGACCCCGAGGACCTCATCCCCAAGCTGCCCAAGCCCCAGGACCTCAAGCCCTTCCCAACCGTCCAGGCCCTGGTGAGGCTGTGGTGGGGGTGGGAGGTGGGGGGGGAGGCAGGACTTGTGGCTCTGGGGAAACGGGAAAGTCTTGTGGCTGGGTTGTTTTTTTTTGGGGGGGGGGCTGCATGATGCCCTTTTGCGCTTCCTGTGGTTGCTTCAGTGGCCTGCCTGTCCCTCCCTCTAGGTGTATCGTGGGCACACCAGCCTTGTGCGCTGCATCAGCCTCTCTCCTGCCGGCCAGTGGCTGGCATCAGGTGAGTGGCCCTGCGCAGCCCCTGCTTTCCCCGCCCTGAGAAGAACCTGCGGTGGGGTTCTTCCTGGCCACGAGGGACCCTCCGAGGCAGGGAGAGGGCAGCTGGACGCCTGGGAGGC